ATCCGATGCTGTAATCGTGTGTGTGTGTGTCTGTCTACGACATTCTTATTTTTCAAGCTGATAAATTTTTCAACAAACTCGTTACTTCTATTAATAATAATATAATTAATTTCTTATATAAATCTCAAATTAATCTTTTTGAAATATTCATATAATGAATACTAAGTCTGAATTTTAATTGTTCGTTTATTGACGAATTTAATCGTTATTATGACGTAGATAATTTATAAATGTTAAAGTTTATTACGTGGAGCAGTCATGGGGCTACTTTAATATGATTATAAAATAAAAAGTATTGGATATTATCCTCTTAAATTTGCCAAAAATATATAATGATGTTAGAGTTGTAATCACGAAATGTTTTATTCATTTCTACAAAAATTGCATAAAAGAAATTTTCTGTGCCAATAGATCAATAGTACATGCACTAAATCGATTTTTTTTGTACTTTTGTTAACTTAATCACAATTTTCTACTCGGATATTATGAAAATTCATCAAAATGTCTTCAAATAATTTTTGTAGATGTATTAGAAAATTAAAGAAAACATTCATTCTAATCAAAACGTTGAAGTGTTTGGCTGATCTATACACGAAAAAACACAATTTTCTACTGGAATATTATACAAATTTATCAAAAATCCAGAAATATTCTTCGTGTACGATATTAAAACATTAATTTTAATAAAAAAAAATTTAAGTGTTTTGATGATATATACACAAAATCATACAATTTCCTACTTAAATGTCATCAGAAATCCAGAAAGATTCTTTGTAGAAGACATTAAAAACATTAATTCTAATCAAAACTTTCAAGTACTTTGTTGATTTATATACAGAAACACACAGTTTTCTACTTAAATATTATAAAAATCCATTAAAAATTCACAAATATTCTTCATGTAAGCATTAAACACACACACAAAAAAAATCATTAATTCTAATGAAAATTCTGAAGCATTTTGCTGGTATGTACATAGAAATCTATGGAATAAAACAATTATAAATGTATGTGCATTTTTTTACTTATTTTCAAATCTTTTATCCTTTTCAGGAACAATATAAAGCTTATTCTGATTTTAAAATTTTCCCTCGGGTCAACTTGATTGAATTTTTTAAAGATAAACATTGGAGAAAACTTCGCTAAAATACTTAACGAAATTCGATCGATATAAATAAAATAAAGTAAATATATTTTAAAATAATTTTTTAATAAATTTTAGAATAGAATTAACTTTTTTACAGTTAGTTTTAACGACGTAAAAATACAATTTCAAATGTTAAATCTTAAAAAAGAAAAATACTATAAATAAATTATAAAAATTATGTTTTTTAGTTGATATTTTATATTTTTATTTATAATATCAAGTAGAGAAATCAAGAACATTTTATTTTATGATATAAATATAGAATTTCGAGTAGAAATTTTTTATAAAATAAGATTTTTAAAAGGGGAAAAAAACTCTCTATTCTTAATCAATCATATCTCAAAGAAAGTAGGTGTCTATTTGTCATCTCAATACTTTCCACCATATTGAAGTAAAAGTCTTCAATGTTCTTTCAAGCTTAAACTTGTCTAAAATTCAACAAAGTTTTCCCTTGAACATAGAATTTTTAAGATTTTTCTTTAACTTATAAAAGTATCAATTGTAGAGTTATCAATAAATCTTCAATGACAAACCATCTTGTGAAAAATCCTATAAAAATTTACACTACAGCATCAAACTAAAAATATTTTCAGAATTATTTATTTTCTATTTCCCCCTTTTTTTCTCATTTAATTTATGTCCGCATTTTGAATNATATACACAAAATCATACAATTTCCTACTTAAATGTCATCAGAAATCCAGAAAGATTCTTTGTAGAAGACATTAAAAACATTAATTCTAATCAAAACTTTCAAGTACTTTGTTGATTTATATACAGAAACACACAGTTTTCTACTTAAATATTATAAAAATCCATTAAAAATTCACAAATATTCTTCATGTAAGCATTAAACACACACACAAAAAAAATCATTAATTCTAATGAAAATTCTGAAGCATTTTGCTGGTATGTACATAGAAATCTATGGAATAAAACAATTATAAATGTATGTGCATTTTTTTACTTATTTTCAAATCTTTTATCCTTTTCAGGAACAATATAAAGCTTATTCTGATTTTAAAATTTTCCCTCGGGTCAACTTGATTGAATTTTTTAAAGATAAACATTGGAGAAAACTTCGCTAAAATACTTAACGAAATTCGATCGATATAAATAAAATAAAGTAAATATATTTTAAAATAATTTTTTAATAAATTTTAGAATAGAATTAACTTTTTTACAGTTAGTTTTAACGACGTAAAAATACAATTTCAAATGTTAAATCTTAAAAAAGAAAAATACTATAAATAAATTATAAAAATTATGTTTTTTAGTTGATATTTTATATTTTTATTTATAATATCAAGTAGAGAAATCAAGAACATTTTATTTTATGATATAAATATAGAATTTCGAGTAGAAATTTTTTATAAAATAAGATTTTTAAAAGGGGAAAAAAACTCTCTATTCTTAATCAATCATATCTCAAAGAAAGTAGGTGTCTATTTGTCATCTCAATACTTTCCACCATATTGAAGTAAAAGTCTTCAATGTTCTTTCAAGCTTAAACTTGTCTAAAATTCAACAAAGTTTTCCCTTGAACATAGAATTTTTAAGATTTTTCTTTAACTTATAAAAGTATCAATTGTAGAGTTATCAATAAATCTTCAATGACAAACCATCTTGTGAAAAATCCTATAAAAATTTACACTACAGCATCAAACTAAAAATATTTTCAGAATTATTTATTTTCTATTTCCCCCTTTTTTTCTCATTTAATTTATGTCCGCATTTTGAATTTAATATATTTTTTTATCTACGTAGAAAAATTGAACACGCATTTCTTATATATAAACTATACGTGACACATGTAGAAACACTGTATATACCGTAATATATATTATAAAATAGAATAAAATGACATATTCACAATGCCAGGCTGCAATTTTTAATTTATTTACTTTAAAATATATGCTCTCGATCTCAAATTAGTAATGTTTTGCCCTTGTAAATCATACTTTCCCTATTAGCAGCAGAGTAATGCCAGTCATTTATGTAACTCCATTCTGGAAACTTTTTTTAATCTGTTTTAGTGGTTAATTCTTTTTAATAATACCTTTAATTATAATTTAAAATAGAAAATTAATTTCGTTTCTAGACATTTCTCTCTAAAAATTAAATTTAATCCGTTAAAATTAAAGGCTAAATAGTGTAAATAATATATCATTCACACATATATTTTTTAAAAAATCTTCTTCTTTAACTACTGTTAAAACTTCTCCACCCAAATCAATAACACTTTATCTTATGATATTATCTGTACTTTAGTATATAAAAAAAAAAACAAAGTAGGACCTACATTTTATGCCTAGATATTATAGTAATTTTTTTTACTAGAAGTTTATTATCACTTTTAAATTAGATATAAAAAATATATATATATCAGAATTCTTGTATTATTTGTAAATTAGAAGAGTTTATATTCTCGTAGTACATGTGACCTACATTTTGTTGGTAGGAAAAATTTTAACTGTCAGATGAAAATGAATAAAATTTTATTGTTTGCGTGAAAATTCATTTTATCCTTCTTTATTTAAAAAAAAATAAATACGAAATTTATTAAATATAATAACTTATAACTGGTTCACTGACATACATAAGAGAGGAATATCGACTTTTATAATATCTTTTTGTTTTTTTTTTTAGCATTATTAACCAAACACATGAAAATCTTTGAATGTATTTGATAAAAATCACTTTAAATTACGATAAAATATAATAAAATTGTATTAATTTTTATTTAAAATTTACATAAATATATCTTAATATTAAAATAATATATTAACTACGAACCTTAATTATCGACTTAATTAGACTTTAATGTTAATAAACTTTGACAGAATATATAATTTTTTCGAGCAAATCCTAGTCTACAGACTTAGAAAATGAATTTATTAATAATTAATTTTTGCTTAATTATAAAATAATAGACAATAATAAACAATTATCGAAGATCAAAGGAGATTATTCTCATCAACATATTAATTAGAAAATCTATTATTTAATCAATGTTTATGGACTTAAGTAATATAAATTACAATTTTTATTACACGAATTTTATTGTTAAAATAAAGTTGTAGGAATATATATGTATTTTTTATTTATTTATTTATTAATTTAATTAATTTTTTGGGTTTTATAACTAGCGCAATTCCATGTTGCACATGTCACTTATATTTCGTAATAGAAAACGAATAATCGAGAACGACGCACATTAAATTTATGACAATATTACTGTTGACAACATAATTAAATTTTATAGCGTCAATTGGATATAATTCAGCTAACAATATGCTACTAAAGATAATATAATTTCTTATAATATTTATACTTTCCTCAACGTTGTATGATATTAAAAAATATATATATATATATTCTTTCTAACTTAAAATTTCATCGTTTACCACTGTAAATTTTATATATAAAAAGTAAATTTAGTAAATAAAATCATTGTAAATTGTTATTGTATTTTATTAACGTATAAGAGATTTAATAAAAGTTACAATTCGCTAATTTAATGCATTCACAATCCATTAGAATTATGATGGTTAGAATAAATTTAATATTGTTAATGTTGCAAATGAACTAATAAATTATTAAAGATACTTGAACTAATAACTAACTTAATAATTCGAGATGAAACTGATTAAGAGGATGCGCATTGATATTAAGAAATCCCCCTGTAAATCACTCTTCCTTACATTACAATAGTCTATACAGGAAAGCTAATATAAAAGGGTTTTTTAATATTTTTAATACTTTAAAATCTAACGTTATAAAATAAATATACGAAAATTATTCTTAATAAAATTTTTTTTTAATTATTTCGAAGATTTTAAATCATACTTACTAATTTATGCAACTGTATAAAGGAAGGATTTCCTGCTGTTAACAGAGAGAAGCTGATAGCGAGAATGCTATCTGATCACCAAGCACACTTCTTTCTGAGCTAACCACTGCGACGTCACCATTATAATGCGCATGCTCTGCCAAATGATAAACACACGCAACTGTTCCTGAGAGTAAAATTTGTTGTGAGAATTGCATACAATTTATAGTAATATATTCATTTTTAAAGCGACAATATCTTTACTATTACACATAGAAAATTACTTTTTATATGTATAAAAACTGTCTCTAAGTCTATTAAAAGTAATTATTTAATTTAAATTCTCTTCTTTTGTTAAATATTCTCAAAAAAAACTATTTATTACAGCTAATTTTTTTTACTTTAGATTTACTTTTAAGTGAATAATACGATTATAGATGCTTTAGTTTTTTTTTAATTAAATTGATTTTACAGGCATTTTTTTTATTGTATACAGTTAGTAAATTATTGATATTTTTCTTTATTATTAATAGTAAATTTTTAGTATTAAGGTGTGACCTCAAACGACCCAATTTACTAATGCATCGAAAAGAAAAATTTGATAATTATTTAGATTTTTTTTTCCTAATAAAAGTAATTTAGGATTAAGTATTAAAATTATATACAAATTTTTGAATCTAAAAATAGTTGACTTAATAAAATATGTTTTTCTGCAACCCAATATAATTTTGTGCATACATAAAGCTTATTTTATTTAACTAAATTGTTAAAAATAGCTCGAATATATGTTTTTTTTTTAAATTCGTTAAAAGTTAATATTGTCGAATGTATTTTTCAACTTAATAATAGAGGATTTTCTATACTTAATACCAGAAAATATTCATATTCTGAGTTTAGTAAACATGTGATAATAGGTGTAAAACTTTTAATAATGTAGAAATCTAGCATTTATGTTTTAATAATTGTTAACTACACGTGTCAAGATGAAGGTCAGATCATAACTCTATTAATAAAACCTTCATAGTATCACAGAAACTACTTATTTTATAATCATTTTTTTATATTAAGAGTAATTAATAATATAAGAAGATTAATAATTGCCATTTTGTGGAAATTATTAAAGCTACTTCATCTTTTAACACTTCATTTATTGAAACCAAAAGTTAAAATTTATTATTATTATTTTTTTTTTTTCGGAAGGAAGTGATATCCATTTTCTTAGAGCACGTCATCTCCATCAAATTAAGTTTCATGCATACATATAAAAAAGTAACAAGCTGTGGAACTCAATCATTTCATTAAATATTCAACACCCTTTCCCTCTTAAGTGGTTTCTCAACACTTTTGAGGAAGTGACAGTGAAAAGGGTTCAACGACCTTCCTTTGAATTAACTTTCACATTGAAAATTCTGCTTTAACTTTTTATCCTGTTTGTATATTTTATCCCTATTGTGTTGGCGTGGGAATGGGAATTTTTATCAAAATTCACCCCAGAGATAATATTAAACAATTGTTTAATTAATTCTAATAAAAGCTTTAATAATAATAACTCGAAATAATCGTATATATTTACAATTCTATATATAAATACACCTCACGTTCGAGATGAAATTCTACAGTTATTGATTTTATGATCTGTTTTATAATTAAATTTAGAAGAGTTAGATATAAAAATATATTTTTATAACCGGAATCTATGAAAATTAATATGATTTTTGTGTAAAAAAATTGAATAAATAAGTAAAATTTTGGTCGAAAAAAACGTGTTTAAAGTATTAAAATGCTTAGAATTAACTGAGTTTTGAATATAGAACTACAACTTTAATTATAGAATTATAAATACCTAACGTAACATAATGTTATATAGATTAAAAAAACTGAAGATATTTGATAGGAAAATATATAGGAAATAAGAAAATTTCCAAAAGGAAATGATCAAAGTAAAATCTTGATTAAGAAAAGTAAGGAGAAGAATACTAATTAGTTAAAGAAACCAGTAAAAATGTTAGAATTTGGATGATCATTAGATAAATATAATAAAAAATTACTGATTAAATAACTTAATATAATATTTATTAATTCAATTATAAATAATATATTAAAGTATATATTTATATACGTTATTAATCTTTATTATTTGATATATTTTTTATTGAATTAATAAATAAATATATTCAAGTTTTATTTTTTTCTGCCAATAGAAATAATGTATATTTTATTATAAGCTATAAAAATATATTATACGTGTCATATTATAGTATAAAAATCGTGTAATTCTTTACTGTATCATTATTTAAAATTTCAAATCGTGCAGATTAAATATTTATCTTACCTTGAAGCAAAATGCAAACACGAAACTTCGTATATGAGTTGATATAAATGAAATTAAAAGGTTATGCAAACAAAATAATAGAAGACTTTTTTAAATTAAACGTTCATTACCATAAACAAATAATTTTATTCGTCTTTACGATACATTATTACAGCAAAAAACACGATCATTAATCATCTTTCTGATAATGTAGTCTACTTACGTCTTTTTCTATATATTTACAAGCAAGAAGACACGTATAAAATATTTCTCTGTAACTACAGCTAAAGTTTAATGATTTTATTTATTTATTTTAATTAATTAATGAATAATAACGTTATTTATTTTGTATTAAAATGAAAAAAAGGAGGATATCTTCGTGTTGAAAGTCTATCTTGAGTTTTTTATATATTAAATAAAGGATGGAAAGTGATGTAAATAAAGAAGGAAAATTGCATTGTAATTAATATACAGATGCTGGAAAAATAAAATAAAATTTAGAATTTATCATTATTTTTATTTATAAATTTTACTTAAAAATTAATTATTTATTTTTTATCAAAACAAATCGTTATTATTTCAGGATTGTGATTAACTTCTTGGCAATTCTCTTGTTTACTATATAGATTATTCGAAAAAATGATTATTTCATCTTATTCAAACGTTAATTTCAAGTATTAACAAGTGAAATTTGTATAAAAAAATTATATTAATATATTTAAATATTATAATAAATTAATTATACATAATTTAATATTCTTTTTCTCATTATAGATTATATTATTTTAATTTGTAATTGTTAAATTAAAATTATTTATAAGATTGATTTAATATACATAGAAACTGTAATGTACTGTAATTCTTTACTGTACTGTATTACTATACTACACTGTATTATACTGTACTGCAGTGTTTTACTGTATGTAATTGTACTGTACTGTAATGTTTTATTATGCTGTTCATTAATGCCACTAACTTTATCAGGAAAAAGACCTAGAAATTAGAAACAATTTCGTGTAATTTTATGATAATTAATTTAAATTTTAACAGAAAAACATTCCATCATTTATAATTATGGAATGGTGTGATCTTATGTAATATTATCTTTTTATTTTCTGAAAATGATAACTGAAACAAATCAACTAACTAAAGTGGATATTGATTTTTACATTATATTTAAATGACTTCTGTATTAGAAAGAATAGAATCTTTACAACTTTCTCCATTTTAACAATTACAAGTTTAACGATGTCAAAAAGTAATTTTATATTATATAAGTCGGTACACGAATTAAATGAATCTTATTATCGATCTTTTCAGTTGAGGATTAAGTTATTTTCTGAGAAATAATCACGTAAAAAAAAGGAATTAATCTGTTAAATTCTTACTCTTTGATCATCTAATCTAAAATGCAAGAACTTTCTTCTCTAGTATTTAAATTCTGCTAATTTAAATGTAAATTATTTTCTTATAATTGTAAAATAATAAAGTTAAATATTTTCATATCTTTCTTATCAAATTATCTTTGTAAAGTCATCAATCGAATATTGTCACACGGCAGTTTAACACTGCCACGTGTCTTTATTCTATTGTCGAGGTGTGTGAAAAATTAAATTGTGAAGTCACTCTTTCAACTTTTCTTTTTGGAGTGTTTCTTCTATTCTACAGAATTTTAAATACTTCAATTTTAATCTTTTTTGTAATACAAAACAACATTCTAAAACTAAAATTTATTCCAGAGAAACATCAAGTTCAAGGAAATTCAAGTTTTTATTTGTTTTCTTCGTCCCACATCTAATAATAAAATAACATTTTAAAACTTGAATTAAAGCTTAAATATAAACAAAAATTAAATATTTTAATCCTTAAAATTATAAAAAAATTATATTGTTAATTATTTATTCTATAGAGATTTTTTAAAAATGATTTCTACTCCCACAGTATGAAGAGCCAAATTCTTAAGTAATGTCTCGTCTTCTCCATACACTAAAATGAGGTCGCCTAGTAAAGTAATTGATCCGAAATACTAATTTAAACAGTATATAATAAGAAATTTATATATTAATACACATAAATAACATAGCTTATACAATAAATTGTCTTCCTTTCTCGGAATTATGACTGATTAACGAGACTAAGTATCGATAGCCTTACTTGGGTGTTGTTGGAGATTTGTATCAGAGAAAAGTAATACAATAATGTAGTAAAAATAAGCATTAACTGACAATAAATTATGTTCACGATTACTTTGCCAGTTTAACGTTATATAAAATACATTTTATCTCTGGCAAAGAAGTCACCAAGCAATGTACATTGGAAGAGTTGGTCGGAAATGATGTTTGCCAATGTTGACCTTCTCTTCCATTAAATGGTCCAACATACAATCTGTCCGCTTTCTTTTTCTTTTATTCTTTCTTATTTCACTTGTTCTAACATTTCTTATTTATTTTTAACAAAACACAGCTTTATTCTATTCCATTCAACAAACGTTTTTAACGTATAATTACAATAAAAATTATCATAATTTTTTTTGGTACAGTACTTGCTCAGTTTTATCATTTTTAACAATTTAAAAATATAAATTTTTTTTAAATTTATTAAAAACATAATAGTTTCTCTTTCCTTTAAAATAATTATTTAAATTAATTACTTCTTTAATGAACGACGTACTTATTATAGAAGTAACACGTAAATTAGTTAAATTTATTATACTTTTAATTATTTACTAGAATGTAGCACAGTAAAACCTGTCTAAGACGGGACCTGAATAGAAAGGAAACGGAAAATATGACCGTTTACACAGGTTTTCCTTATATAAAATTA